TTTGTTGGCTGTTCTATAAAACCTAACAATACAAGAACTCATTCTTGGAACAATAACAATAAAAAGAAAAAGAAATCTTGTGGGTCCCTTGGAGGAAACTTTCTATGATTTCTATGATTATTTTAATAAAGTGGAAGTACATTTTGACAAGCACTGTATGTTAGTGAATTTTTAGGAAGGTGAAGGATACAAATGTTTATAGAAGGAAATGACACCACTCCACAGTAGTGAGCAGAGGGTACGATTAAAAATATTACCTAGACTTTAAGAGCAATCTTCTATTTGCTAGTTTGGGAAAAGAATTCTGTTCCTTTTTGGAACTTCCTTGGGCATAGAATAGTTTTGTTTGAATTCATCGAAAAGGCTGCTTCAGTCAACGTCTTTTTTGAAAACCTTCATTTGACCTTGCTTCCCCAGGACAGCTGCCACCTGTTACCACCCAAGTCCTTCCTGTGATTTCTCTCTGCCCACACAGTTAGAGTCATCTGCTTTGCATAAAGGATAGTACTGACTCATTACTACTTTTACTCGTTTTTGATGCAGAATCACTTATTACACTTTTGATAATACAAAAGGAGAAAACGATATACTCGAATCCCCTCCATTCATGAAGGAGCAGATGTTGGAACCCAACACTAGGCATAAAGTCCTCGAGCACAAGGGATGTTTTGAGAACTGCAGCCCCACTTTATTTCCAATTGTGATACAATATTACTGGCCAATATATTAAGAGCAAGGTCCATGAGAAAGACAAAGAGGATGTCACTTCAAAACTGAAGAATGTAACAGTTTGGTTCATGAAGGGTCATGTTAGAGGAGAATCAGAAGAAATCCTCAAACTCTAGGGTGCCTTAGAGTTGAAGACTTCTCAAGTGAGGAAACTACCCAGGAGTAACATTATTTGAAGTAAAATGGACATTAGAGAAAACAATGCAGCCCAATCTTTTTTAACACAGAGCTAAATTGATATCTTCATAATTCCAATGAAATGCCCAAGGTCACACAACTGGTTATGGATAAAATTGAGCATAACTGGATCCAAAGAACATTTTAAAGTGTTTGTTAAAACTTTCTCATACTGGTAATAAGTCTTTATTTGCTGTGTGATCTTTGGAATTTATCATATTTTCAAAAGCCAAGAAAAGTTGGTTTGATTGAACTCAATTTTTATAGGAGCATGAGTTTAGCTACCATTGAGGACAGGAAATTCAGAGTAAAAAGAAAAAGTGGAGGAGAAAATCTATTTTCTAAGGTTGTATGTTTCTATGTTATCAAAAATGAAGAGTGAGCAGTATCTAAATTTAAAATTGCCTTCGACCTTCTAAACTACCCCAGAATCCAACAAACAAAAAAACCTTCCCACTACATTATGACACTGAGTAGTTAATTATTTATGCTAAAATTTGAATCACAACCCATTGTGTGGTTTAGAATTCAAGAAACTATCTTAGGATATAAAAATGTATATACCTATGGGGCCATTTGGTTTGGCAAAATAATTGCTGTCCCACTCGTACCCTTTTGGCTGGTGTTATAAATACTGTACTGTGAGATGACTGTCTGCTCTTATTATTGTCATTATAATAATTCTATATTTAATTTTGCCATTTTCAGCTTCTAGAATACAAATATGCTATCATTTAATTTGTTGCCTCTGTATACATTTAAAGTTTAACAGGCCAGTCAAACAAATTTAAGACTGATGAAAAAGACCTCTATTTTGTACTTAAAAGCTATAATATTTTACATTTTAATTAGTGAGGCTGGGGACTCTCTGTGCTATGTGACTTCTCATGTAAAAAACTGTGATCAAATCCATTAGCGCCCTGTGCTAGATAACGTTAGAACCACAGACCACAGCCTCCTACTGTTAACTGGCCTGAGTATGCAGGCAGGGCACTGGAAATGAATCACACAGCCCGCAGTGTGCATCTGGTTATCAGATATGGAAAGGAACTTCTCAAAGTGGATTAGAGAGTCAATTTCAACTAAGCACCACCTCTGTCATGAGTGAAAGGAATAACAGAAAAAGAGAGAACAACAGTTCACATTCACTCAAAGACGCCAACGTACAATAAACAGTAAACAAAGCACAGCCCTTCCCAATTACTTATGTAATAACAAAATCGTAAAATTATATTTAAAGGGTGATTTTTCTATGTACTTTATTCTTACCAGAAATCTTCATTTTACCTACTTCTATTTTTAATTTGCCCTGGTATTTACCCTGTGCCAGGTATCATTTATGTGACTTCAGCAAAAGTCATTATATTTCAATAAACAATAGCAGAAAAGGAATTCTACCAGAATGAAAATCGGCACTGTAGTCTGAAATGGATATAAGGGCAGATGTCTGCATATTCATTCGTACTGGTAATTTTTTTCTGTGAGACTTGCAGAATGACAAGGGGGAGTGTTTGCAGCGGAGTCTTTCTGCAGAACCAGCAAATCCCCAGAGGAGGCACTCGTGGATTGCTGTTACAGCTACATCCGCTCTTCCTGTCAGAGGCTGGGGAGCCGGTCACACGCAGGACTCTGATCACATGCCTCCTTTCCTTGTCCTCAGCTCCCCTTTATCATCCCACCAAGTCCCATCTGATTCCCTCGTCCAAGGAAGGAAAAGCTTCCATCTCAGTCCTTTGGCAATCAACTAATGCATGTTAGTTATTTTAGAAGTTCCTGAAACTCCCAATTTAAGCTTAGACTTTGAAGCCTACCAGTCAAGCAAAAGACAATTTTTCTTTCTTTTTTTTTTGTCTCTGAGAGAACCGTGATGTGATACAGGCTATGGAAGCAATAAAGGTAAAACCTTATAAAATCCAGTAAGACTGGAATCACACAGCAATAAATACTCATAGCACAGACTATTTATGGGTTGAGTTCTTTCTAATTTCTGAAAAATTAGACGAAGAAAAGTATCCAGCTAGAGACAAAACTGTATTGACTTCCTCATATAGGTATACATTCTGAGAAGTTTCTATCAGCTTTGCCATCAAAAAGACGAAAACGCTGAGTCTGAGACAGACCAGCAAATAAATCCTGCCTGAAGAGAGACCGTCATTTGATTTTTAGACCAAGGAAGGCTGGACAGTGGCCAACTCCGTGTGCTCTCCGCTCTCTCTTCTTCTCCTTACTGGACACTAAAACTTAGAGTCAATTCAAGGGTAAACAGCAGTAATATAGGTGCCTTACAATTACCCTTTGAAACAAAAGGGAAAGCTCGGTGCTATTAGATCAGTAGAGCAGACTTAGGAAGAGTTGTGAGGCTGTCAACCGATTGTTAACACAATCCTAATGACCTCTTTCAGCCCTTAATTACAATAATATCTCACGTTGTAAGTGCTCAATGCCCTTTTATTAAAGCTGCAAACCTTAATAGCTTTTAGCAGGCTTATGGTCTGCACTAGTGATTATTATTTTCTTTACTTCTCTCTTTCCACAGACAACTTTCAGCTAGCTTTCCCAGATGCGACGATTAGTGCTGGATGCTGCCTAATTGTTTCTGCCACAAACTCCACGTTAAACAGTAGCGTATAAATGACACTTCCACAAAGTTGCCAGCTTGACTAGCTGCCTCAGTTCTCTTGCGTTATAATTCATACTGTTCCAAGTAGCCCCCAAAATAAAGAAAAGAATTCTTAATGCATTTCCCCTTTACATACAGTAACAAGAAAAAGAGCTTAGGTAAACCAAATTCTAATTAGTTCTTTAGGAAAGAAGTAATTCTTGGTGAGGTATTAAAAGTTTCTAATGTAATTACGCTTTACCTTAATTCTTTTCTCCTCTAGTAATTTGTCTTTGTGAAGATACTCTGAAAACTATTTGGATGTTTCTGTGCTTGCGTCTATCCAAACTTTCCTTTTTTAAAAAAGGCTGCTACTTCCTCAAAACTCCTCAGATATACATACTTCTGTGTTGTTAATCTGATTTTTAAAATAAATGCTTGCACTTAGTAAAGGCCATGTATTGACAAGGTACATTTTACTGTTTATCTGCTGCTTCTATGTGAAAAGTGACTTGAACGCCTGTCTGGTTATAGAAATTGTGGAGGGCAACTCTGCCTCAACGGTCTTTCACTTAACAAATTATCTAATAAAGACACGATATTTCTTGCAAACCAAAAAAAAAAAAAAATGTTTTAAGTATATTCATATGAATTTGCGTATTTCCAAAGTCCTGAGATCCCCGGTCCTGGATGGTGTCTCACCTCGCCCCAGTGCCAGGTGAACTCACCATACCCACCTTTACTCACCTGAACTCTGACATCTAAGAAATCCGTAGGGTTAACGATCTAAAACGTGAACGGATACCGAATCATAGGTCGTTTCTCATTAATCCACATTGGAAGGCTGTGTACCGGAGACTAGCCGCGTACCATGCGCACCCACGAAGAAGCGTTCAGGGAAGCAGGGCGCCCCTCTCTCGGGGACGCCTAGGGTAGGGGGGGAAGGAGGACGCAGAGGCGCCACAGCGGCAGAATACTAATGACGGGGCAGCGGAGCCCCTTTAGGTGAGCTCCACCTTCTCAAAGGTAAAAGGTGTCCGGCGCGGAGGGCTCAGAGGACTCCCGCACGCTGCGACACGCAGCCCCTTCCAACCTCAGCCCTCTGCAGAACCGGGAGCCAAGCCGGCGCGGACTCGGGCGCCCAGCGGTGCGAGGTCAGGGGAGGGCCGCTCGCGGTCCTCTGAGCAGAGCGGTCCCGACTGCCGTGTTTACGGCTGCGTCTGGCGAGGGCTGGAGTTCGCTCTTACACTGAACTACTTCTCAGGTCGCACCTGCTGTCTGTCAGCCCCGGCTTTCCGGGCCGCACGCCTGTCCTGCCTCGCAGAGCAACGTCTCGCGGCACCACGCAGTAACTTGGGAACGCCAAGGGAAACTCCACCAGGATCCCCCGCCCGCTTTCCGCTCGCTGATTAGTTCTGCTTCCAAGTGCGCACAGCGAGAACGCACCTCTGCCCAGCCGCGCCTTCCCCAGCCCCAAGCAGGCGGTCACACTCACCTGGGGCCTCGATGCCCTCCCCGTGGCGCGTGACGCCAGGGATCCGGGCGCTCGCATCCGAAAGGACGTGCGCTCGTCTGCCGGGCGCCCGCGGGCGCTTCGGGACCCGGTGCGCGCAGCTGGGCGCGCGGGGCGGACTGAGGCACCTGCTCGGCGCCCGCTGGGGCCCGCCCGGCGCTGGCTCTCCCTCCAATCACAGCCCACTCCGCGGTGCGCGGGGCCCTTCCCCGGCCTCCGGTGCCCGGGCTGGCTGCCTCTGAGGCTGCGAGGGGCCCCTCCGACTCGCCCGAGAGGCGGACACCAGGTCCGGAGCCGGCGGGAGCGCGCGTCCGGTGAGAGGGCGAGCGAGGACGAAAAGAAGAGAACGCGCCAGGGACCCGGAACCGAGACTGAGTGGAAGAGGGTGATCTAGGTCCGCGGCGGGCGACCGCCGTCAGCTCCGTCCGAGGCCGGCCCAGGGAGCCGCCGAGACTTCTGAACCTCTCGGAGATCCAGTGAGAGCGACTGCGAAGGAACGCGGAGAGGGAGCCGCTCGGCCGCCACGCGCGCACACACACGCGCGCGCACACACGCGCACCCTCCTCCACTCCCTCCTGACAGATCTGTACAGATGGATTCCTTCGCAGGAAAATAAAGAAGAGGGTTGAAAGAGGAGGGGCCGCAGCCCGTCCGTCTCCACTCGAGGTATTTGCATTTGCAAGCACGGAGCTGGAGGAGAGTTGGGAGAGTTTTCCAAGCTCCCTTCCCCCGATCCCCACCCCCATAGCCTGTCTTGGAAGCCGTGATCAATTGAGCTCCTGAGGCATGAAGGCAAAGTCATAAAACTAATCAGAACTTACAGTTTTCTTGCTTGATAGTTTTGCCCTTTCAATCTCCTCAGACTGCCCTAGTTCTACTTTCTTTACTGGCAGAAAATTCCCTCCCCTGCTGGGCTCTGGAATGCAAAACTTCTGAGCTGTGTGATTTACGAAGGGCGGGACGGAGGACCCTGGCGGGGTGGGGAAGGAAGGACAGGTACGTGATTTTTTATTTGGAACGCTGCAGCCGGCTGAGTTGAGCACGCGCGTTGTTTCTTTCCCTCTGCTCTGGTGCCTGATTTAACCTGATGACTCGATGTTCACAGGGTGAGGAGGAGGTGTAGATCATGCCCAAGTACGTTCGTTTAAATTTTTCTTATTCTGCCAATGAAATCTGCCCTCTTCTCTCACCCCCCACGTCCATCGCAGCGATTCTTCCTTACGGGCTCCATGGGCACACGCTCCTGCGTGTCAACAGCTCTGATTTCTTGTTAACTCGGGCTCACTGGCTTTGCCCCCAGTCCAGCCTCTTCTGGCCCCTTAGCTTGCATCCGCCGCCCCCCATAGTATTTAAAACTGAATTCAACGCTAATAATCTAACATCAGACGTATTATGAACTTTAAAAAAAATTCCAGATACAATCCCACGCTTAATTTGCGTTCCTTCAGTTTTAAAGTTCTGTCTCCAACACAGAATCTGCCCAGGTCCAGGGCTGCTTGGAAGGCCGTTTCATGGTCCATTTTCACTCAGCTGTCAGTGATTGAAGCTCAAGATACTCAGAACAGACCTCCTTAGCTCTTCTGAAATATCACCTTGGGGTTCTCTAGTCCGCACTTCACTGCCAGGGGCGCTGGCATTCTCCAGGTGCCCAGACTTCAAACCTTGGTTTCATCTTTGAGTTCTTTGAAATGTTTTTCTATGTTAAAAACCCTCAATTATTCTGGCTCTATCATAGAATCTGGAATTTTACATTTTTTTTCCTAGTCACATTATCCTTTTCTTGTTTTGTCCAACGTGCTGGTTTCTGGGATGGGAACTTCTCTTTTCATCATTCTAGTCTCAAAGCTTCAGGAGGGCAGACATTGGAATTTAGTATCACCAAGACACAGCATATGTTTGGCCCCATAATAAATTTGTTTTAAATAAAGAAGCGAATGTTTGTGTCCCACCCAGCTTGGAACACAGTTCAGAGCCTAAGAAACTGTCTGTAAGCTGCTTGTGGATTACCTGGGTCATTCTTCTGTAGGTGATAGGCTGATGGGGACCAGGCACTGCCCCATACTCATCTCTTAGTGGGGTTTAATCAAGAGAGATCACATAAGGGAAAAAATATAAGGAGACCATGGAAAAAAGATATTTCAGTGATGCTTCTCCTCACAAAATTGCTTCTCTCCGCAATTTTGGGAGAACTTGTGCCTCCACAGGAACATGGATTGAAAATTTAGGCTTTCATCCTGAATCGGATGATTCCATTCTGCCCACCTTCCTTTTTGAAAAATGTCTTACACTATAACCTTGGCACAGATTTCAAAAGGGGTCAGGTGCATCTAGTTAACCAAAATCCTAGTCCTGGTTCTCACACTAACTCTAGGTTCTCCTGGACCCAAAGGTGCAGCCTAGAGTGAAAAAGTGAGAACTGGAAATAGGAGGTACGGTCACCGTGGGACACTCCCTGAACGAGGAGGTGGGGATGGTCTCTCTCTAGGAGAAGGCACTTAAGTTGAGATATAATGATAGGAATGAGTCAGCTCCATGAAGATCTGAGGGGAGAATGATGTGGACACAATAAACAAGGGGAGCGTCTGCGGCAGGAAAGGGTTGGATGTGTGTGAGAAAGAAGTCCTTACTGCCCCAGGTCAGAATGGCAGCAGATGATGCTGTAGTCATGGGCCTGGACTAGGTGGTGCAGAGAGTTCTAGCCCCTAGAAGATGCTTGCATTTTATTCTTGATTAGGATGCGCAACATTAGGAAATAAAAGGCCTGTTCCGCAGGTTTGCCTTCTGGTCAAGTTTAGACTCAAGACATGTTTCACCAGGTCCTATCTCCTTTTCTTGCCCCATAACTTCTGCTGTCAGTAGAAAACTTATTTTTCTGAAAAATAAGAATAAAATATTAGTATAGTAGATGCTTTCAATCCATGAAGTACAAATATAAGCCCTTAACAACATATCCTTAATTATAAAATGTTATATTTTCTTATAAATTGCAAATTTATGTTGTCATATTTCTGTTTTAAATATCGATCTTTTTTACATCTGCTTAGTTGAAGCCTTTATTTTTTTTAGTGATGTATAGAAGATTATCTGATAAATCTCCCCTCACCCTTTGGCCCTAATTATAAACTCCTCTTTTCAATTTAGTTTTACTCTCTTCATTAAATTGATAAAAATCACCTGTAACATGCTTTCTGTCTGTGTGAACAGTATCTTCCTAGAGTTCTTATCTCCCGAAGTAGATTTGACGCAAGTAAGAAGTTTCTGATAAAATTACTGATTGGATAATATTATATTTATGTTATTCCGTCTTGATCTTACACTAAAATGAACGGTACAGCTCGGGTGTCTGGTAGCAGAGGGCACAAGTGACACAATCACTGGAAACTAAACACTTGTCAAAGTTCTGGGGAAACAGAGATGTGGAAGAAGGTAAACCCTTGTTCATGGTACAGACGCTCATAAAGGTGGGTCAGTTATGTTCCTTTTGAGCATTTCCCCCAATATATACTGTGAATAATTATTTAAAATATAATACATGTAAACATATCAAATTAAATTTAAATACATATTGTATGATGCTTAGCACTTTTATGAAGATATCTATGGCCTTCATTTTATCTAATTAAATATGTTTTCATCTTCTACAGAAAGAATTTCTAGCTCAATGCAGTCATTGACTACTTTGGTAAATACTTAGTGAACTTCTGCTGTGTTATCCCTAGACTAGGACATGAGGGAACAAAGATGATTTGGTTCTTATCTTCAGGATCCTCTCAATCTAGTGTGAAAATAAAGAGGTACATAGCGTATATTCACATGGCACGTGATGAGGTAGGCCTGAAATGTCAAGCGTAGGACGGGAAAAAATGGGGTCATGTGATGAAAAGTCTTGAATGAGGAAAGAAAATGCTTGGAATGTACTGTGAAGACAGTGGGGTTCTTTCGAGCTAGTTGCATTAGAAAAAGGAACACCCCAGCATTCTTACCAAGTCAGCCTTGGACTAGAGGTGAGATGTGATTAGGAAGTTGTTATAGAGATCCAGGTGTTAAAAATCTTGGCCTGGATTGTAGCTCAGAACCAGTGATATGTAGTGTATGAAAGTCTCTTTGTTATATCAGAAAATAGAAATAAAGATTTCTTTAGTAAGTTTACTGATAACAGAGCATACATGATCACTAACGAAGGCCTGGGTACCCAAGATTAGCCTCATAGAATTTACTGCAAACAGCGTCACTGGTAACTGTGACCTTCCAAAGAACACTGAGCTAGGAGAAACCAAAATCTGAGCTGGTGCAAGGGCTTTGCTTCCTGGGATGTGACCAGGGCTCCTATTTCACTGCCTAAAATTCAGTCTTTGCACACAGATGAGTACTTATTTGCAGAGGATGCCATGTACTTAAAGGATCTTGAAAATATTCTCAGAATAAAGGTGCTGGAGTTAAAGGAACTTTTTCCTTGAGCATTTGTCTCAGGGAAGAGGACAACAACTAAGAGCCTCAGTCCTTAAGAGCGCAGGACGCTGTGTAGTCTGGGAGGAGGGAAATGACAGACCTCGGGGCTGTGCTGCCAAAGATGCCTCCTCAGTTCTGAGTAACCTTCTCTTTTCCTGAACAACTTAGAAAACACTACAGAAAGGAAAGCAGAATGAAATGACATGGAGCAGAGTTAGGGAAAAAAAGGTAATGAATCTATCCCACCCCTGTACATAGCAACGGAAATTGATGCTACTCTATCACTTTATTGGTTATCAGAATATCAGTATATCCTCTCTCAGTTGAGAATATCTGAGATTTTGGATGTCATTGGTTAACATTTTAAAGCAGGAGTTTAATCGTCTGCTGCTGCATGTCAAAATTCTCAACATATTCTCTTTAACGAACAAACTTAAACAGATAAGCATTTGATTTGTATTTAGTATGAAGTGCCAAAGCCAGGGACACTTAACTCTTCTAAATAGCGTACGATACTTATCCTGTATGTCTGGATACAGAATAGTGGGAACACAAATTACTTTTTAAATAGCAACTCAACTCAAAATTCTTAGAAATCATACATTGAGGCCTGTGCTGCCTCTTGAATTATAGTTGTCCCATAAAAGCCTCTTAAAACCTTCCCAGAGGAAAGCAATAATGCAAATTTCTCTAACCACCCTTCTATCTTTCACTTTGTCATAAGCCTAGAATCTTTGGAAAAAAGCAGACTTTTACAGTGTCTCAACTCATTTCAAAAATATTTATTGAGTGTGCACTCTGTGGCAGGTTTAATGCTACGTAATGTATGAATTATAAAGGAAAATAAGGCAAATATAAAAGGGAGAGATGAGGCTAAACTCTGTAAGAGAAAGACAAGCTGTCAGGATATGTGATTTGAGAAGGGAAAAATAACTTGTAGTTTTGGAGAGCCCTAAAAACATAAACCAGTAGGACATTTCACTTGGGTCTTGGAGATATGAATAAGAAATGGACAAGATGAGGCTGCAAAA